CGCCACACAAGCGTTAAAAGACACTGGGAAATTTTTACCACTTAGAAATATAATGATCAGGCGTTTTACAATAAGCACAAGACATACCAGGAGCTTGACTACCCGAATCGGCCGGAAAAGATGACACTTTCTTTTTATTAACCTCGGCGCCAAAACTGTCGGCAGGCTTACCCCCTTTTTTAGGAGTCAATTTGGGTTGTACTTTAACCCCAAAGTCTTTGTGAGTAAGCGAATACTCAGCCAAAACCGATGCCGGACGTAATTTAGTCACCTTTTGTTCGTTCAAATACGTCTTCAAGCTTCCTGGTATACATTGTTTGAACCCGGGGTTTGAACGCCTCCATCAACACAAGCTCTCTAAGCGCATCATAATTGTCCTGAACCTTGGTGGACGAACACCACCTGTCGAACCGAGACTATTTCTCACGAGCATATTCAACATAAGTTTGACAATTACGAAACTTCAAACGATATGCCTAAAACCCCAACTACAAATTACACAAATAATAAATACATAAAAATAAACTCAAACGTAACATAAATAAATTCTGGTTATTTGCATTCATGAGTTGGCTTCTACCTTGATAGCACAGAATCACACACATCAATATGTTCGTACGTCTAGTATTTCCTGATCATTTTCATAACTAATAATGTGGATAGAATCCATGTGTGTGTTGATGTCCAGTCAATAACAACAAAGAGCGCCATCTGTGTTCACTTGTTGACGAATATAAATGGAGGTTTTACAAATGTATATTTCTACCAAAGAGCACCCTCTATGATCACATTTTATACAAAGAGATGATCATGAATAAGATTTTACGAATATAAATGCAAATTTCACAAAACCAAATGTAAATTTGTATTACGAATACAAATGGAGAGTTTACAAATACAAACCGAGCTTTCACAAATACGAATGGAGATTTTACAAATACAAATGGATGTTTTACGAATATAAATAGGCCATATATAAATATGAATGTAAAATTTTGTCCGTGAATATTTTTAATGAATCTTGCTACAATCTGCCTTCCTTACGTAACTTACAACCAACATATTAATATTTACAAAAAAATATATCGGTATAAATGTGTTCTTTGTTTATAATGTTGAGTAAGATTGTGATACATAGTATTTGCTTTTGCATCGTTTGTTATTGCATACCATGTTCTGTTATGATGATGAACTTCTGACACATACATATCATGTAACTTTAGCTATGTTTCCTTAAGAGGTGTTTTATTTTTATGTCATAATTGGATTATATTGATGTGTGTTGTACTGACTGGGGTTGAGTGTTGATGTATCAGAAAAGTATGTTTGAAAAATATACGAAAGACGAAACAGATTACTGGGTATGTATAATCCAACATGCCAGCCGCAGCTAGGTGCAATCAGGCTTTCACATGCATTGTATGGATACGTAATTTACTTCCACCGCGGTAATTGACAGATGGTACTAGTCTCATTTCTTGACTATGTTAGGTAATTTATACGGTCTCTCGTGATTATTGCAGGTGCATATTACGAAATGACGCGGCTTTCAAAAAAATACTGAAATTAGAGCCCAGAAAACTTGGTTCAGAGATTTTAAACATTAATATTTGCATAATAAATAAATTTGAAATATACGTCACATAGAAACCAGAACAAGTATTACCGTGTTTCGTAGTTGTCTGCTGAACATGCAGTGAACATGTTCGAACATAATGAAAGGTTCAGGGGAAAATGCACATTTAATTAAATATGCAAATATGTTTTAACCTCGTTTCTATGTCGATCAACCTAGTTCATGTCGATCAAAAAGTTGCCGAGCATAAGTCTGGCCATATATGGCCAAGCATATTGCATATGATAAAATGAAAACTTACTGACCTTGATAAAATAATGATATAGTCAACGTAAATGGCTTTTAGTAAACGCAAATAAATATAAAAGTCGGTAATTTGATTTTCGTAAAATTACACCATAATATTTGGGTTTGAAAATCTCCCTGTTGACATAGTCTCATCGATATCATTGTCTATAAACACATGGTGTAAATTTGAGAAAGTAGTGCACTGCATGGGGCTACTGACGTGCGTGGACCCACCTGTGTTCGTGGCCTGCGGGTCACCAATGGCTAAGAGTAGTGTATCGTTTGATTAGGTAGAGAGTTACCCCTCCGCGTCTTTTGTCACGTCATCTTTGAAGTCGCAGCTTATTTTCACATCAACAAAGGATCTATTCATGCGTAAGCACGGGCAACTTCATTTTAGTGCCCCCTGATAGTATAACAGGTCCTTTGTTATGCAAATGATCGTCAAGGTAGAAAAGGTCACCTGGCGTGACCCACGGAATCAAACACGCGAGCAGCCAGCCTGGACTATGCAAGATGGACACGATCGCCACTCGAAATCAACGGGAAGTGTTCATGGCAAGCGACGTGCTACCCGACCCAAGGCAGCCAGACTTCACCGGGAAAAATCTATAGCAGGAACCGAAAAAATGGGATGTGGTGCAAGTAGCCGACCTAGTACGGAGAAACAATCTCGGAAACCTCGACCGAAAAGGTACAGTGTCGGTTCTGTGAAAGTCCCTTCGTTGATATATCACTCCTAATGAAATAACAGACATAACAATTAATGTTGGTAGCGTTTGTTGAGTTTGGCGTGTTTCAAATAAAAAAAAACGAAAAAAAATCTCGGGAGAATAAAGGTACAGTCACTTCATTCACGAGTCGTTTATGTTAACAACTACCCAGTATATTTCGCGTTGCAGCTGAACGTCTGTAACGAGCAAAAATTGTGTTCAACATCTCATTAAACTGCCCGAATCAGCATTAAGAATTTATGAGGGCCTATCCGTTTAATGTTTCTACAATAATTAGTATACACCCTGGGATGTTATACAGGTGAATATATGACATAATATAGTATTGTCGTCCTTCTGTATCGATTAGATTTTCGTGTATGTGACAAGACTAGGGATAACGTAAACATCATCTGGGCTCTGAATTGAAGTGTCACTATAGGTGTGTGTGTGTGAGAGCCGACGAGTCTGGTAAATTTTAAACGAATCGTAGTGAATCTAATTGACATTGATACCTTCATACAGTTAAGCATCTCAGTTTATAGCGTCGTGAACGCTGTACCCCCTGTCGCGGTTAGTGTACGTATCGCAAAACAGCAAACAAATCGATTGAACGCGTTGAACGGGTCAGGGCAAGAGGTTAGTGGCGTACCTTTGCGAAATTCAATATGGAACGGGCAATAACCGGAGCAGTCGTAGTAACCGTAATGAAATCGATCTCCAAGAAATCATTTGATTCAGGCTCCACTGGCGATGTATTTTGAACTTCGCAACAGCATGTGATTAAAAACACAAATAAAGGAACGGAATAATTATCTTGTTTTCCGTTATTTAATTAGAGAAAATCGCACGGATGAAATATGCGGCTATTTGGATTACCACAAGCCATTGCCGAGTAGAAATGTTCGTTTATTCGTATGCTCTACATTTGGAGGTATGTATAAATTTCGTTGTTTTTGTTTTTTGTTTTTAGCAAAACAACTTGAATAAATATATATATTGCGTTTTTTTTAGCAGTACACTTTTCTCGGTTGCATGTGTCGTCACTGGGTCCAAGACTCTCAATCGAACGGACGAAAGTATTTTATTTTGTCTGCAAAGATTCCAACTCTAATCATCTCCATGACAACGTCGCATTAAACATCCCTGCAATATACTATTATATTCCACACACCTTAAAACAGCACTGCCCTAAATTGCATTATTGTAGATATAAATGTCATTATGAATATATTGCATAGGTTAAACAGGTTTGTTACTGTGTGTCCGCGTGAATGCATCAATAATATACATATGCAAATAGATTGTTTTGCGAACTAACAATCTGAATAACAGTTTCCCGGTGTTCATGATTGCCAATGTCAAAAGAACTACCAACGCCACGTATGTGTAAATATATTTTCTTTGTTCCTGTGTTCAGTTCATTTTTTTTAGTTCTTTATTTATTTTCCATAAATACAACAATCGTACATAAGTTATACAGATCATGCCGGGGAAGGGAGCTAGAAAATAATATAACTACTAATCGAGTCGAGTTTCCGCATTTATTAATAAAAATACCATTTTGATTATAAGCACTGACTCATAGTTATAGTAGACAAGACAATATATGCAAATTAAAAAAAAAATAAAGACGATCGAATAAATGAATTAATACTTATACAAAATATTTTTTTTCTAAATTTCTTTTTTGTCAAACCCTTGATATCTACCGGGTCTTGGCTTCACTACGTTGCAACTGCATTTTTCTGCGTTACTATCATGGAATGATTAAGGTGTTCCTTTGAGTAATTACGATCATCTGAGCGAGGGCGTATGCACGTAAGTACGGTCTTATGGACCAGTGTGTGCTTTATTTCAGATTTAGAAAGTGAACGCAACACTCTGATTGAGAGGGTTTACCCAAGGATCAGAAGCTTTTGTCGGGAACGAGGTTATGAGTTTCAGGCTGTTGATCTCAATTTTGGCCTCAGTAAGGAGGATTTAGATGATGATCCTGCGCTTTCAACAAGATTAGAGACGATCAAAAAATGTCAACACCAGTCTATTGGTCCAAATGTTTTGGTGAGTACAGTCCATGTCCCCCATGTCTATCTACTCTTACCAATTAGTCAAATTGTCTAGTAAGCGCATTGTCTGTTATATTTTAATTTCAGTTAGTTTATTCTGCAATCATTGAATTACAAGTTACTATTTCAATATCTCACTCACAGAGGTGAGATGTAAATTCGCGAGTTGTGCTGATTACCCATGTGTAAAAATGTGAAATAGTCGACATGCAGCCAAGTATCCTCCCAGATATTTTCTATTCAGTTCCTTCACTTGCACATTAATATTTCCGCATATCATTGTCACGCTCTCTGATATAAAACGAATGGCATTAACTATAAATTAAATGGGGGGAATTCAGGTATTTTATGATGAATTTTGACAACCTGAACATTTCAAACCAAAACACAGCTCACCTGTCATACTGGATCTAGAAAAAGTATACATCAAAACTAAACAAAATAATAATGCTCAGTACTCTTCCTGATGGCAATTTAAATGCCTAATATCCTAAATCTCGATATATATTTTATTATTTGTGAATTATTCATGGGCAAATTTTAGTCTCTGCGAACAGGATGACGGTAACAGGAAATTGTATTGTATTTCGAAAGGTCATATTCGATTGATCGACGTCCGTGTTTCCAATCACGTGTTAGGGTCACGTGTATATATAAGAGATATGTAAGTCTATTCAATACAATATATGTTAATGTACACTTTGCGTAATACAGTGAGTGCATATAATATGTATCATGCAAAAGCAGTGACATAAAGCCATGAAATATATCTCCATATTCCACCCCGTTGACCTTTGGTTCTCCTGAACGACAAATCAGATTGGTTCTTGCATGCACTTAAAAACTGTGACGTCGCCAACTAGTCACCCAATTAAATGCCGAAACTCACATTTCGGGGATTTTCATATGAAAATTACCTCACTCGTTTAATAAATACGTTATTAGACGGTCACTCTTCAAAACCTGCTCTTCAAAGCACATTATAATGTAGAAATTATCTTCTACTTCGATTACTTACTTTTTAAAATATATGTCAAAGTGTAGGAGGTGAATCTAGCGTGTTAACACTATGTCTACTGACTCAAACCAAGTACGTTTTACTACTAAGCCGTGTTTCTACTTTGGCGAGATATGTAAGGGATCGACCATTCGAAATTATGGGTTTTTTTAGAAGATTGCAAGCTAGACACCGAAGGAAAAGTAAAAAAAAATCCGTGCATAAAAGGTGTTGCAGGAAACACATGTTAGCACATTCAAAACAATTAGAACTGCTCAGACAAGACACAGCAAAACAAAGAATTGATCTAGTCTAAAAGCCACCGCACCTCTAATGTTTGACCCCCATAATAAACTTCTGATAAGACGTTGGTGTTACAACCGGAAACTTTAATCCTAATTATATGAACTATTACCCCCCCCCCCCGTGACTTAGATTCTCCTCTCCGAGAAGTATGGCCTGAGGGCGCTGCCAAGATGTCTTGCCGAAGAAGATTATCAAAAGATAACTCACCACGTGACAGATGCTGATGACGGTCTTTTTCTCAGTCTGTAAGTAGAAAAATAATATTCAAAACAGAATCGAAATATTTTTAATATTTCAATTGAATTCAAAACTATGGTTGATAATTTATTCACTGGAAAACCAACCGACAATATACTCTGCTTGGTATTTTCTGTGTGCTTTAAATTTTCTGCGATGAATGAAAATGATTGTGTACCTTCTTTTTCTATAACGTAATCTCATACTAGATGGTATAAAAAGGATAACAACTCCAAACCTGGCGTATATTTGCTACAAGATTACACCAATCTATTTCCGGCATCTGATGAAGTCGATGACCAAGTACAAAAAATACAACGACGACAAAAGCAATACACGATAGAACAACGATTAAGAAGTATAATATCTAGTGCAAAAGCGAAAGATGAATCTCTTTGTCATCTTCTTCTATCAGGTATAACTGCAAATTAAAACCATTGATAATACTTGAATTATTGGATATTAAACTTGCAGCGTTAGTTGTTATTTAAGTTAGATAACAAGATAATGGTAAGCAACTGTGGTGGTATTCGCTGTTCAGGAGAAATCGCGAGATAAACGAGTACCCCTTTGATATTACCCACAATCTTGGTATCACGGCAACGTCTGATAGGCTAGTTAGACAATTAATGTTGTGTCCTCGTTGCTGTACCTCTTTGCTTATGTGGAACTCATAAAACATGAAGCAGTGTTTGTTTTTGGATTTTCCTTTTAAAGACATACCCGGAGGTAACTATGTAGATTTGGATTCAAATTCCAAAAAAACATGTTATTGACTACATAAGCATTCATGCAACGCTACACCACAGACAACGCCATGACAAGCTTATTAAAACACTTCACAGAAATATATTATAGCATTATCGTTTAAAGGCGGTAGTCGTCGTGCCGCGCATGTGCGACATTTGTGTTGATAAACATTGATTTTCACACAATCCAATGCGCTCTTCTATTGGTATGAGTTTTGACCTTGGCGGTACGTTAACTAATTACCGCCGGTGATTCTTCTATACCTTCCAATCATCGAATACATTACGTAGTTAAAGCTTGGTAACGTACCAGTTTGTACTCGTTGGTCTGCACAGCACTCAAAGACGCCATCTTTGTTCATATGAGTCCCATACCCCGCGCACGCGTGGCGCGACGACCACCGCTTTGTTAATATAATGTATTCATTTTGAATAGCGTTGAAATTAACATGATTAGTCAACGTGTATTTGGATACATGCTGCTTGTTTTCGATCATGATAAGACCTTCAGTTTATGTTCAACACTGACGTATTCATCTCTTAAGGTACTCTGATTGGTCAAATGGTTTATGTTTATTTTATATATAAAAAAAACTATTTTGGTTAGCAAGTTATTAACGTAAGTATGTTATTTGTGTATTTGTTGAAATCAACAGTAACCGAATTAGAGGTGCAGTGCGCGTTGCAATGTTCTGATCCATGCAAAGAGTGTATTTGGTGTCAGAGGTCTATTGAAGTCGGGTATCAACCTAAAAGCAAACACGTCCCAGTGGCAAACCTGTCCAAATATGTAGAAAAGAATGAAGAGAATGATCTGTTGGAAAATTTAAAAAAGAACGTTTTGCACGGCAATATATCTCCACACAATGCTTTGAAATACTACGTGAAATGGAACAATGAGTTCGGTACGTACTGCGAAGTTGCCCTATTGCCCTGTTCTCATTTCTCATTAGTCAACTATGTACATTCGGTTCTCATCGGCTCTTAAATGTCAGGGACTTGTGTCTTTGTAAGCGTGTTTTATGTTCGCTTCACTTGTGATAATAAGAGTATTGTGTGCATGTTACAATTTACCAGAAACAAACAAATCATGCGTGGCGTGACCTCACTTTAAATAAATTATTTCTCCAGGTATCGACCCAAGTAAAGTGACAAGTCATAAGGACCACGTGGATTCTCTATGTTGGAATGTCGAAGATAAACTTATAGATTTGATCACATCAGCTATTTCGGAAAACAAACATTTCTTTAAGAACAACAATGATGAGTTGTTCTATGAAGTTCACCACCACATGAATATATGTAAGAGTTATTGTCAGACGTTTGTAGGGAGAGACGAGGTATTAAAGGTGGGTACATATGTGAATAGTTATAGGGGATTTGACGTATACATATGAGGTATAATATTTCCGGATTTTACCGCCACATAATAGTTTTATTTGAATCTGCCGCCTTAATTTCCAACTGATTAATCTGGCTCATAAATAATCATACAACCTGATTTTGTATGATGTTTGTATGCGGCCAATGATTGATTTAACTGCGATATCCTAATTATTACTAAACTTACTGCTTACGTAATTGAGCAGGATAAACGCACACCCGATACCTTCAAATGGTACACTATAACCCATAATGCAATGCGCCACCCGCTTTACGGTTTCACAAGTTTGGTCTTCTCTTTTACAGAACATCCAAGGTTATTTCGCCACCAGCAAGAGATCTCCTCTTGTAATCCATGGTCCGCCAGGAAGCGGTAAGACGGCAATCGCCTCTATGGTTACTAAAATGTTAAGAACGTGGATACCTGGTGATTTGGACGCAGTCGTTGTTGTACGCTTTGTTGGCACATCGCCAAATAGTAAAACCCTGAGAGGACTGCTGCACAGCGTAGTCTGCCAAATTAATCAGGCATATGGAAATAAAAGATATGTACTACAGGTATTTTAAATATTTCAATTACATTGATTCAGTAGTACATTTCGAAGTCTGAAATTTTATTATGAAACTTGACACTAATTTTAAAGCTTATTCACCAGCCAAGCACTAACACTCATTAACACTCAGGGCTGTACAGCTTTGATCGCTTGATCCATGAAAATAATCACAAATAACATGACGTTTTATCATATCGACCACAAACAGTGATATCTGTAAAAGCGCAGTACTCTATATTCTGCGTGACAGATAGTGTTCGTGGTTGCGTGAATGTTCAGCTATTTCGATTATACAACCTAATCCATAAAACACATTTCTTATAAGTTACACCTTCTCGCTTATGTGACGGGAGTATGTCAAATGAAAGCGTTCATATCGTCGATATTGTTTCCATCTGTAGTATTCAGCGAATAAATATTGCATTTAAGAAATTGTGTCGCCGATTTGAACGACAATGCTTACACCCATTTACGTCATTTTGATTTTCAAAAAGGCGCTCTGTTTGTAGATGGCATGACATGTATAGGAAAGGTCTAATGGATTTATCCGTACTATGTTGATGGTTATATACTCAGAATGGACGTTTTTCCGTAATAGCATTTTGAAACGATGTTACCATTTACATCTACACATTCTCCATACATGAACAGCTATATCTACAGCTTAGCATATATTTTGGGCTTGATGGTTACACTTTATTTTATTATGGTGCACCCATATTTCGTATATTTGTAGGTTGAATCGAAAAATTGAGTCTTATTTTATTCTAGCCAAACACTCACACTTAAAACATTAAACACTTAAATTAACAACCGTGATTGTCCCCATCTCCATAGGATCTCAACTATCTAATTCAACGTCTACCAAGAACACTCTCACAAGCATCTGAGGAGCGACCTCTCGTAATCATTCTGGACTCCATTGATGACGCAAAGACATTTCGAACATCACGTCGGTTGTCCTGGTTACCAATACGTCTTCCACACCACGTCAAAGTGATACTGACCGTATCAGTGGAGGATAAATCGAGAAGCTTAGCAGAGCTGCAGGTAACAGAACATCGACATAAATATATTCAAACATACAATCATAAGCATGTGTTCAATTGTGTATTTCGAGAGAAATAAGCATGACATCATGGAGCTATGTAGAGTAATCGACATATAATCATTCAAATCGGCATTTCAAGTCACGTGATATGCGCAGAAGGTGCGAACACGCGGATGAAGCAATACAACTACTGTGGCGGAAACATCTGGATTGAAAGTATTTGCTTGTTAAATGCTTATTAGAAAACCATTTTAAAGAAGAGATTTTTCAAATGTTACAGGAGGTAGTAACATAATTGTATAAAATCATTCATATTTTGCCTTATCTGTTCTAAACACAGCTGCATGGTTATGAATTTATCCAAAACAAATGTCCTTTGTTCCATTTACGCAGTGATCAAAACAATCGATGGATGTGATTGATGTGAACTAAATGCACAAATGCGCGAAGTAAATCTAATTTGGTTTAATATACATATTCCTACATGCTGTGTGATTGAACATTGCGTGTGCCTGAGCTATCTTCGTATGCCTTTATTAACAGGACTATTTAACGGACAGTTCGTGCTTCATTGGAATTCCACGTTTAACGGAGGGAGAAATAAGCGAACTCACCAGACGGTTACTCGTGGCATCCAATCGCACACTCAAAGCTCAGCAATGGAGCATCCTTCTCACAGCCTGTGGTAGGTCGCCTTACCCACTATTCGCCACGCTAGCTACTCACCAGTCTTCAAAGTGGAAGTCGTATACCAAATTTCAAGAGGCCTGGTTGGGATTCACAGTGAAAGAGCTCGTTCAGTCTGTTTTCGAGAAGTTGGAGGATACATTTGGGAAGTGTCTCGTCAGTCACGTGCTTGGATACATTACAGTGTGTAAGAATGATTTCACATATACATTTCATTTTACATTGTAAAATATGTTATTTTATATTTATTTTCTCAAGATTCAGTACTAAGCAAAGTATGGAAAATACAGTCAGTAGTATCATTCTTGCTAATAGTTAAAAAATAAAAACAAACGGGTGCTCTCCATGGGCGAGTTCAATAATGTTCTCATAGCCGCGTTACCAATGTGAGACTAATCATTTAACCATTGTCTCCACGATCTGCTGCCAATACAATATCCTGCCAATATATACCTATATATGCATTTCAGTTTTTCTGGCATTCTGCAACCATCAACATTTCCATGAGTTGTTGATATGTGAGTCACAAGACCAAGCATATGTGTTTCCTTATATCTCGTCTTCATAACCAGTAGTTCGCATTTATCTATTCCATATAAGTATATGTTAATAAAGTTACTTTGACAGTTATGGTCTTATGCATATATAATATGTTGTTGTTTTAAAGTTAGTGTTACTGAACTAATTCAATTAAATATATTTATCCGTTTTCTTCCCAACAGCAAGGTATGGCTTGAGTGAAAACGAACTAGAAGACATAATGTCATGTGATGATGAAGTTCTCAATGACCTGTACGAAGACTGCTTTCCCCCGGTCCGTCGCATCCCATCGCTACTATGGTTACGCATCCGTGAGAAGTTATCGGTGTACTTTACAGAAAGAACTATCGACAATGTAGTAGTCACATCGTGGAGTCACTCGCAACTCAAAGAGTTCTCAGCATTGCGGTATTTTGTTGATGATGACAAAAGAAAGATGTTACACTCCAACATAGCGGATTATTTTCTTGGTGCTTGGTCAAATGGTTAGTCAAAAACATTGTGTATGTCTTCTCAAGTGGGATTAAAGCTATAAAGCCTGATAATATTGAATATATATATACTTACTAGAATTTGTAGTATCTAGTGTACGTCATCCCATATTTCGCTGTGACTCTTTTGCTTCAATACGTCTGACTGGATTCAATTTCAGGTTCGTCTCTAAATCTTACAAGTAGCCCAGATACATGATAAATATTTAGGAATTCTACATGTTTCAGCAGATAAAATAAATTGGTCTACGCCACATCCCAAAATGAATTATCAGTAGCTTATTTAGTACTCAATTTTTTATAATACAGCCCATGGGGGATTGTGTGCAGCATATTTTATTTTCCCGAAGGCAAATGCTCTTTGAATACGGAGCATGAAACCATTATCAGCGGATATAAGGTTTCTTTTCGGAAACCAACAAGTTAAGCTTTTGTAGTTGCTGTCATTTTGAACATCTGTGTTCTGTGTATCTATTGTACGTACTATTGAAAGTGAAATGAACATACCCGACTTGATCCTAGCGATTAATGCACGTTAAACTAACAATCACAATCACAATCAAATGCGAATGGCATTGTGCAATATGACAGACTGATAAAAAAATCATTGTATTCAACAGGTGTCAAAAAGCCATTTGTTACCTGCAAAATGGAATTTGGAAAGAACGATCGTTTGGTGGCGGCACAGCCACTGATGCTGAACGACGATACATACAATATGAGAAAACTGAACGAGTTACCGTATCATTTACTACAGAGTGATAGGCTAGGGACTCTGAAAGTCAAGGTCCTGTGCAATTATGATTGGCTAATAGCAAAGTTAAAGGCGACATCTTACAGGTAGTCACGTGTTCTTAAAGTGTCTGGCTCATATAAATCTTCGTCATTTACAAGTTTTGAATAATTGTTCCATAAACTTTTCTTAAGTAAAATTAAATATATATTTTAGATTTGGAGACCAGATGGCATAGTTCAACTTTTCAATTAGATTGCTTTGTCTCGTACAATATCAATCAATGCTTATGTAGTTTAGTGAGTGCAAAAAACAACATTTTAGTTCTATTTTAACCATTAACTATTTAACCATTTTTTGTCCAATGTGCAGTATACACATTCTCGTCTATATTTCATTTTAACTACACTTTTCCTGCGGACAAAATACAGACTATGTGTGTACTTACTTTATTTCTGTTATTATAACAGTCAATTGCAGGAAGACTTCAAGATGGCTTTACAGAAATACCCGGATGACGAAAATATCACGGTGGTTGCTGAAACGCTTTCACTTTCACGTGATGCATTGCAGATCCACCCTCACCACTTGGCGTCCCAGCTTGTGGGCAGGATAACGAAGGTACCTCTGCCGTCAATTTTATTGTTTCATATTACGCATCAGAAATTTATTTCGTGTAAATTGTCTGTTTTATTTCTCTGCTATTCAGACAGCAGGGCTTGAAGAACTTTTAAAGCGTGCCCGAGCGCCAGATATTACAAGCCTTACACCGTTCCTGCCATTTCTATCACCACCCGGATGTCAATTGGTTCATAGCATGGCGGGACATACGTCAACTATTACGTCAATGGATATAACTCAAGATGGACGTTACATTGCAACTGGTTAGTTATGAAAATTATAATTCTTAATAGGGAAATAGTATCACATTGAAAAGTAATTAAAAATCAATTATTTGTCAATTTGTAGTAATTTAAATCAAGACCAGTATTTGGCTTTTTTCAGCCATAGAAATAATTAATAGAAACCAATACAAACACATGGATCAATGATATTTTGTAATTTTTCCAGGATATTTCGGACTTGTTTTTCTCAAAAATGTGTTCAATGACCCTAAATATCAGTATCAGCAATATCAGTGCATTGTAAAGTATAAATCATATAACAATAGTCGCACGTAAGAACGATGTTGGTATTTTACAACCATTTAAATATTAAAACTTATCCGGGGGTAATTGTGTATATTATGTTGTTCCTTTAAGCCTCCGTGGATGAGAGCATACATATCTGGGCAGTAAAGGATGGCGTCCTCCTCAAATCGGTTGATTGGATTGGCAAAGGTATCAGACGAGTCAACTACGCAAATGGTGATAAGCTCTTAGTCATTTCATATTCCAATAGTCTGAAGTTCATAAACGCTATCACATTAGTAACTGAGTATGTCTTGAATATTCGAGGACTGCACGGCAAAGCCCCGTCATTCGCGATAGGAGGCAAAGGAAAGAAGACTGCGTTCCTTGTTCGACCCGGTAAATTAGTAATTGTCGATGTTGCCAAAGGAAACACGTTATCAGAAATAAGAGATACCGCTCTTCAGCGGACTTGTGAGGACACGAAAATATCGGCAAGAGGTGACATGGTCGCTTATTTTAATCCAAATTACAAGAAGAAGTCGATAAAAGTGACCAGTGTCCATACAGTCAAGCCAGTCTTGAAATCGATAAAAATCAACCCCGACGACAAGTCGGACTATCACCGACCAGGGCATAAAGACACTATTGTGTCCGACGTGGCTGTTACGTCATCGCGATACGTGATTGTTATTTGTCGTAACTTCAATGATGTAAGTATTTACGATGGACACTCATTAAGATTGATAAGGCGAATTCGTAACCATTCCGAGCATCTGTATGGGAAGACGTCGGTTCACCGAATTGTGTATGATGACCACAACTTGGCTTTTCCCGTGCAAGACGCAGTTGCAGTGTGGGATCTCGCGGGCAGTGATGGCAAGTGGTACGGCCTGCAACATCCAACTGACGTAACAGGCGTCGCATCTGTAGACATGAAGAGGTTCGTCACCATAGCAACAGATCACGTAGTAAGAATATGGGATGTGTCTAAGGATGAAGAAGAATCAATGTTTATAAGAAATGATTGGGACAGTCATGTCCTTATGTCAAAATGTTTCCCTCGCCACGGAGAGTCCACTGATGACGATAGAAGCGTGGTTAATGATGACTCTATGGAAGTGGTCACCACTAGCGACGTATATATCGGAAGTGACATCATCAATGAAAAAACACAATATACGTTCGATGTGTGCCAATTGTTATCTGACGCGCATGATATATTCTACACAGATTATTCATTGTATCCGTCAGAACGAATCAAATGCGTTGTTCAGCAAATCGAGGAAATCCCCGGATGTACTACGTACGTACTTGTAAAATCCAAAAATAATAACCAATACTCCATCACCATATTGGACCTGTCGACCCTGACACCGGTGAGACAAAGCGTCATGTATCGATCACGGCACTGCGATCGGGAGACATTCGACACAGCCCAGATTGTGACTGTGAATGACAAAATAGCTGTTGTCATATTACAGAACACGTTAGTACTTGTGGATTTTGTCGATAGTCTGGTGCTAAGAACTTTGAATGGAAAGGTTACGTCCGACAGGATAGTACTTGTCAATAACAGAGAAAAAATTGCAGCCATTGAAGAATCGAGGGAAGTTATTAAATTGTACAATATTGAAACCGATGAACCAATAATTTTGAGGGGGTACGAAAAAAAATGTCGCGTCTCACGAATTTGTGCCAGCGACGACGGTATGGGGATTATACTAGTGAGCCAGTTGGAAAGTAGCGTGGGCGTTTTTCACGTGTGGGACGTCACGTCGTTCTCGTTAATGCACGTGTTGCAATGTGACGTGGACGAACAGTGCTGTTTAAGGCTTTTGATTGGCGAAATGGTTTTATCACGTGACAGTCGCTATCTCTGTCATGCGTACAAAGCGGAGTTTATTATGGTATGGGATTTGGAAAACGGAGATGTCGTGCATCGTCTGCAGGCTAAGGAAAAATGGCGACGGGTCAAGACGTATGTAACTACTGGCACGGATAGAATATTAGTTGCCTATGACAACGGTACTGTAATGCTATGGAACATATCGGAAGGTATGTCTCTTTCACTTAGTTCAATTTAAAAAAAATAGAGTCTAATGTGTCTCAATTCATGAGTGTTGGCGCTATTTTTTTGCTAAATCAGTCGTTCGGTGTTATTAAAAATGTTTAATGGTTCATTACAGCTAATGTGATACACATGCTAAACGGACATACAATTTCGCCGACAATTTTAAAAATTTCGTCAGATGGACAGCGAGCACTATCTATGACAAGTTGTGGTTACCATGACAGTGAACGGCTACTCGTTTTATGGAATCTGCAAGAGGGTTACAAAATCGGTGATTTTAGGATGGATTACGTTCCAAATCTTTCTTATCGGGTAATGTCATTATACCGTGTTTACGTTTTATCACTGTAATTTATATGGCCATGCCAAGCTCAGGGCTACTCGAGCCGACGTCCCACGTTATCAGGCGAGACACCGATGAATGTAAACGGTATTTCGTTTCAACGACGTTTAATTATCTTCGTCAAATTCCTACTTAGTGTGCGTGTGAAACAGTTGGAATTTTGTTAAAGCGGGAGGGTCGTCACCTGCGCACGCGCTAGAATTGAGTCCCAAGCGACGATAACAACACAAGCTAAACACGGCTCATGGATAGACGCTTGTTTGTAAACAATGGCACGCTATGACCATCTGACGCATGCGCAGGTGACGACGTCGAATCTCCCGCTTTAAGTAAATAAGCTCATCAGTTGAGAATTGATATTACTAGTAAATCTTGAAGCAGCCTATTTTTAACATTTTTTTGTGACAGACAATTCAAACACGACTATTATACATTACTTAATTTCTTCTTTATTCCGTGATCTTCTAGAAGGAAACTGTTCATCTTCTGTGCAATGGCCACTTGATAGTTTTACCTACTGCCACGATCGGATCGCCTGTTACGTTGAGGGCACAGAGCAAAACACTCCACCGATTCGAAGTCCCCACCGAGTGGCCGGCTCTCTACCAACAAAAAGGTAATGATGTAAATTATTTAATTAATACAAATGTTATTCGCTTTTTGAACAAACATTCACTAGTGCAATCAAGACCAATATACTCGTTTACATACAATCACAAAGTGTGTTTCTCTGGATGGCCCAATCATCGCGCTTAATTGAACTATAACAGAACTTTGCCATTTTTTTTAAAAATGTCAGGTGAGCACTTGGTATTAGATTTCTCACAAGCATTCGCAAATGAAGAAGATCCAGGCTCAGAAACAGCGAAAAATGAAAGCGAAACCAGAAGTGAAGAAATTAAAGATGGGGGCGAGGAGTAACATCAACGTACTGGTCATCGCGACGATGCTTAACAATGTACACGTTTTCCTTGTCATATGAGAACCGCTTCATATAACCTTGTATTAAATGTATTGAGCAGTTTTGTCATCTATATGATATCGCTCTATGTTTGCTTTGTGATATCACTCCCTTAAGTGAATTTCGAACATCGAACCTAAGTACAGAACAGACATACATTAAACGGTTTGACCCTGGTGTGTACATTAAATTAGTCCCAAGTTACTACCAATAGAAATGTACAGTGAACTTTGCTATACTGATATCATTTTATATTTCCATGACATGATCAATAAGTTATTTGTTATTTGATATGTTATTGTTTATACATGATTGTAACGAACTCGTATTTTTGTATGTGCTTAGGCAAGTGTGTGCACGTGATACAAAATATGGTCATCTATTTTGCTATATACTGTCAATATTCAAAAACAATTGTCGTGATATCGGCTACTTACAAATTGCCAAATTATGAGTGTCACTATAAAGACACTTTAGACCACGTGCACTAATCTGTGGTGTGGCACGAAGTTTTTTTTTTATAAAATCGGATAAACAAATTCGATATATATATATATAATTAAAATATCGGATGTTTCCTAGATATGTAATGGTTGTTAAAACGGGTCCGTGTGTGTGCTTTTGCAGCATAACGATTGAAATAAAACATTTCTTCCAATATAATATATCTTGTACTTAATCGTGACCTCATTTGGCACGAATACGACGTACTGTCAATTCTATTAGTACGAAGAATTGAAAACCAATATCGCAATAACGTCTAATGGTATTATTTTGACTTAATTCTATGTCCACCTTATTCAAAACTTACTCTATTAAAGTGTTTGTTTTGTTACAAGATAACGATCTCGTGCCTTGGTAACTGCAAGTGAGCGTGCTCAAACAAGCAATAGTTCCTGGGCTGGTCGATAAGCCAATCATTCATTAACTTCTTATTAATTAATGTTGAATAAAAGTAGTTTATATAATGAATATTAACTTCAAAAAGTCAGGAGCTGATGCAGAATATTCAGTTAGAAAGCACGTTTACAGTGAGGTCATAGACGCATTGCATTGTGGGGTATATGTTGTTGCTGTTTTTTTTAATGCGACGGATTTAACGAGACGGCGTCCCCTGCGCCTCTTCTAAGTCCGCCCTCGGAAGTGGACAAGAAATTGTTAACCGAATGTGTACTGAAACAAAATTTATGTGGAGCACATTCCGCTCTGTAGGGGCAATAGTCTGCTCAGCATAGGTCTGCGCATAAGCATGGTATCACAGCTCACGGAACTCGACAGGTGGACAGCGAAATGCAAATTACTAATAACATACAATGACAGTATATTGATTACCCAGATCGTGTTATTGTTGTATACACTAAATACATGCATTCATATTGTGAAAGGTGATCCGTGCAGACTATATTGCATGTACTCTCGCGTTACTTGAAGTATTTCGCTCAAATATCAGCATACAGTGCTGCATGCAACACCATACCATGTTTGTAGTCTTACTGCTTCAAACCTTGCCGCGTGAACTCTTTGTGAATATACGTGTATACGAAATGGCAGGGACGGACTAGACCGTGTATACCGTCTTCCCCAATCTCTCATTGGATCTAGTGTTCTTCCCGCCCGATAAATCTATATATCAGGTCATTTCAAAAACAGAGTTGATTTTTGTGTTCATCGTGAGTTGAAAATAATTTTCGAACTGAAAATGTTTCAGTTTAATTGTGGTTGACAATAATATGAGGTTATTACGAGGATACTCGTGATGACCGTAACATTATACATCTTTTCCTTCCATGGATAGATCATGGGAATGCTGAAGTTCAAAAAAAAGTTTAGAACAGAATCAGCGAACTTCCCACTTTGTGAGGAATCCGGTCAAACCCTGGTGGCAGTCATGTTTGTTTTTATTATTCGAGAACGCTTATGCGCGTAATTATTCCATATTTGGAATATGTATTTTTTAATTTGGTAGAATGAAATAACTCGTAAAATACCGCAAAATTACGGCACGCTGTAACTTATGGCGTTACGGTGACAGATGTATAATAATATATTATATTAATATATTAATATGCTATTGGATTGTAATACTTAGTTTGCCAAAACCAGACTACTATTTTCGATGTTCGCACGCTGCTGTATTAACGCATAGTCATATACAACATTATTCCTAAATATAACGCGATATCACTGGATTTGTATTTATATATTCTCCGTTTTTGTTGTGTTTGTCGTTGGAAGCCAAGTTTATTATTAGACCATACAAACGATGGTGACTCAGTTTGCTTTGCTGACCAATATATAAATAGTAAATTATATAAATCATTTAGGATTGAACACAATATTTCATACTGTAAACTAAATCTGACGAAACGTCTGACTGAAGAGAAGATGGCGTCTATGGCGGATGAATCGTTGCATAGATACGCAGGTTATCTGATAAACCTTAAACGCCCATTTGCGTCGAGATCCCGGTAGGGAAGCCACGAGACTTCGTCGTTGCACCGTATCAAGAGAGGCGTGAACGCAATGACAGGGGTAAATAGAACACTGCTTGAAAAGCAAGAACAAGTCGCGCGGTCCTCTCGCTCCCGTCATATCATAGCGGTCATTTGAGTTTACAAGTTTATATTGGCGATATGTCTGTCATTTCAAATATATATGAAATGCATTACAAGAAAGAGATATTTTTGTTGATTTTAATGTCAATTGTGGTATGCAGAGACGTTGCCCATTAAATCACAACGGTTGGAGATATACAACACCCCGTGTAATGCCAACCTCTGAACCGATTACAATGATATATTTAGAAATATCACCATTTGATATTTACGTGTTCATTGGAGTAACGCATGTACATACACATGTAGACGTGAAGCAGTGGTTCAGTCAGCTATATAACAGGTATGTCTAGTCTATTTACTCGACGTATACAATACCTAGTTATATGCCAGATTCGCTTATTAGAAACAGTATGCTATAAAACGTATTTATTTTATATGAATATAATACCCAACACTAAATGCCACACGTCAGCTTACAAGTTACACCTACAATCTATATTTAGTTAGAAACAGGAAAAATGAGTGTCAATTGATCTAAATTTCAGATATTTTCTAAAATTAATAAGCATGATACTATAACAACCTATATATTACCTGAAAGCTTATAGTGAAATTGCTCGACGGGGAATTCATCGGACATTGCTATCCCTTAATAGAAAGGATTAAGATTAGATAGCGTCCGGTATTTATAGTAGCAGTTGTCTCTAACATGACTATAATCGATTTTCTCTCAGTGAATGTTGCTATTTGGCTAATCAGAATTTGTTAGGAGATGCTCGGTGGCCGATGGAAAAACGTGGCCTAACGTGTAACTAGGTCTTTTTTGTACGCAAGCGTCGACTCGAGTCACATGTTTACTTCAACCATGTCGTGCATTCAGTGTTATTTTTTTTTTGCTTTACATCAGCCACATTAAATAACATTAGTAACCATTCCAGAGTATAGAAATAACAACTAAACTGACAAAGGAATGCAATTATTTAGTTAAAATCCTTTCGTGTTTTTTTTAATAAATACACAAACGTTCTATTTATGTATGACCCTGAATTTATTTATCTGTAACGTATGTTGTCACGCTTACTCGAAATCCTAGTTATTTAAAGTAAATGAATCTAATTGAATATCAATATCACTAGGTCATTACTGACCAGATTTACTTTTGCAGAAATGGCGAACCGACCATCAACAGTTTGTTTTCTGCTAATTATGATGGCTTTAGCATTCGGCCTGGCGCAAGGCAAAGAAATATTTCGATCATTGGCAAAGCTCCGGAGTTTGGTGACTATTGAAAATAAATTGATAACAGATTTAGATACGCATATTCAAGTTTTCAGAGAATTCATTGGAACAAGGTACTGTTAGTGAGAACTCGCATTACAAATTCACGAAATTTCAAAATGATTTTTTACAGAAAAGATCTTTCCGTTGTCTTATAAACTGGGCGTATAGATTTGTATTTCAACTGCCAAAGAAAGATATAGAAATGACAATATCTTGTATTAAAATCTTTCTATAACTATTTTGGTATCAGTTACCTTTCTGTGCAGCTGTATTTTTAATGCATTCTGTTTTTTGAGAGACAAATATGAAATAATATGCACAAATTAACATTATAGCAGAAGTGTGCACAGTCTACATTGGGAAAATATTCAGTCATTGAAACTCCACTATATTATGTGATTTTTTCATAATTATTTGTGTCAACACGTACTGTACAGAACACATAGCATTGTTTCATCATGTGCCACCTAGCTCAAGTTTAGGATATTATGATGTATCTCTCCATATAATACAATAAAATGCCCAAAACTTCATGTTGTACACATTTTTCTGTGATATTTCTAATACACTTTTAGTTGTATGTCAACTTCCAACATCAGAATTAAAATAATATGTACAAACCTTTGTCGGTTTATCAACATATTTGTATAACACTATTAAATTATTAATTTTATTTTTTAAATTACCACCAGAGACGCTAAAAATCTACAACAAGATATAATTTTGGTTTCTCTAAGAATAAACACGTTGGAAAGGTAATGATCCCATGATTCCACAGTGTTATTATTTATTATTTTGTCATTTGAATGTTAAAGCGGGAGGGTCGTCACCTGCGCATGCACGGGAATTGGGTCCCAAGCGACTATAACAA